TTGCAAAGTTTGGGCAGATAGGACAGCAAAATAAAAAAACCATGTAGCCTAATTGTATTGTACTTAATTCAAATGCCAAGTTACGCCATTTGATTGTTTGGTCCACCCGTAACTTAGCAAATATGAGTCTTCACTTCCCGGCCTTTTTAAGTCTGATTCCCCAATAAGCCTTTAATATTTGACAAAATAATGAGCGGTGCTTAAATTAAGCGCTTTTATGCGGTGTTTGAACCCTTAAATAATAAAGAATGGTCTAATAGAGGAGGCTTTACAATCAAACTAATTGCCAAAACAGACTGTTCCATTATACTATTTTGACAGTGCCACAAGTTATGCATCACTTCGTTAAATCTTTTCTTTAGTTAGCTCTTTTTACAGGAAGTTTGAGCGCTCAAAGCTTCGATATTCCAATATATCTCCACCGATAGGCTCCACTGACCAGCTTAGACTAACAATAGACTAATGTGTAAATATTTTGTGTTTCCTTACTGTTTTGCTTTCAGTGTTTTCTCTGGTTGCTGTCGCAACAGTTCTTGGGGTAAAACGTAAACGTTTGAATTTTTAGGGTTTATATATATTCCACATGCTTTTATAATTTGATTGGTCACTATAGTTGCATTCGTGGAAAATGTACTTGCATGGAAGAACAGACATGGTTAAATGGACCATATCAAGCGGGCCTGCTGTTTTGCACTAAAGAGGGTTATGTTGCAGAAATCTAGGCAATATTTTATATCGCAGATTTTGCTGAAAAATCCTTTGATATGCTAAACGCTAATCAAAAAATTAAGTCTATTCGAAGAATTAAATCTCTTTTAAAGTGCGGAAAATAATGCCCAAATCAGCCATTTTTCTTTTACATATCACTAAAAATGTTTGCATGTGTTTATTCCTGACTTTGGGCTGTATCATTTTTAAGTAAATCTTAAAATTTTGTACCCAAGATCGCGAACAAATTGCATATTGTTCAGGTTTGATGTCATATATATCATATTCCTCTCTATTGAGTGCCTGGATTCTTTGTGAAAGCCTAATTTTTTAAATTATACTTTGACATGTCATTAGCTTTTAACAGGAGTAATGCTGGATTACGTGATGGCTATTGTTGATGAGTTTAATATTGCCATAACTCATGTAAGTTACTTAAAGGAACAAGCCATATTTTTTAGTGAAATTGTTAACATTTCGCAAAATAAACCCACACTAGTTTTCTATTTCTGAGGAGTTCTAGATTGTGCAAAACGTTTTTTGGTTTTAATGGAAAATAAGAAGCCCTTTGTTCTGAAATTCCCACTTAAACACCTAAATTAGCCTTTTTTGTTGAACAAAAACTCTTAGTTGATTTTTTAAAAATATATTCGTATCCCAAATTGAATTTTGATAAATGCCACCAATATGCATGTGTGGAAATATCATTGTCCAGTCCTCTAAAATGCCTTACCTCATTATTAATGGTTGTTAATCCCTATTATCACCAGAGTTATTGGTGGCAGGACATCTTGTAATGAGTGAAGGTACCGCCATGTGATCAAAACTTTTATTCGAGCAATGCTAATTATAAGTATATGTATTTCAGAGAACAACCAAAAAATTAAGGTCAATTTTTATATATTTCATTAAAAATATCACTGTACCTATTAGAAATTCAGCAAAAGGTTTTGTTTTGCGGGTTGTGCCTTTTAATAATCGTAATTAATGTGAGATAAAATATTTACCCAACTAAAAATGTATGTTTTTAAATTTAGAACAATTATTAGTATTTATGCTGAAATACTTTAAAGTCTCCAAAAATCTTGTGTGCTACTTCTGATAAAATTACCTTTTTTCATGAATAAATAATGTAACCCATTTTTGATTTTAGACACAGAGCAAGGTTAAAAATAAGCAAATACCATCACTTTAAAAACTATAATTATTTTAAGCTTTTAATTTCGCCAAATAGAAATAATTTTTGATTAAAACTGGCGAAAATTACGATATTCTTATTGTTTTCGATTCTCTATACCGTAAAGTTTATTATCGAATTCTTCGCGGAATATTGAGATAATCACAAGGGTAACCTGATTTTGAATTGAACCATATTAGAAAAAAATAATAATTTTAGCGAATCTGAGCATGTGGCTATGTTTTTCGAATGTTGTGTTTGTGGTTTCATCTTCCATACATTTGATAGTATCTTCGTTCATTTTGGTATAAACCTTGATTAAATAAAATGTAAGAACTTGTACAAACTGATCACAAGCACAAATAATTAGCTTAATAATTATTTTGACTCAATATTATGCAGTTAGATGCTATTTACTCTTTATATTGTGAACTTGAATTTTTCTTTGTTTAGTGGTGTCAATATGTATGTCCTTGGAATCACATTGTTAGACTTAGTTATTCTGTGCTTTGTTCTTGGACGCGATGAGTAAGGGTCCGGGTGCAGTTTTAGCGGAAGTTGGTGACTTCCAGAAAGACAAGCTTAAACACGTTAACCCCAACATTAAAAATCCTTTACCTACTGCTGATGGTAAAGGTTTTCCCCTGTAATATTTTTTAGATGTGAAGAACGAGAAGGCTGAATCACAGTTGATGCACGACATTGAGAAAGGCACAAATCTCAAAAAGGTTGAGACTGTTGAGAAAAACCCATTGCCTACGAAGGAAGGTAAACTTGTCTAACACCATGCCGTGGTCCCAAATTTACTTCTGCTCTTAACACGCCTAATGTAACGCATTTTGTGTTTGCTTTCCTAACCCAACAATATATCTGTGTTAAGAATTTTACGTTTACTTGTTTTACGTATCGTAGGCTGGGTTTCCTTTTTCTGTAGGTAAGGTTTAATCCAAACTTATGAATAAATAGTTATCTGACTTTGGTATCTTTTAGATATCGAGAGGGAGAAGAAAGAAAAAGAATAAGAATGCTCATAATGCATATGGGACGTTAACTAAATCAACATTCGCTTATTTGTTACTTTTATTAAATAAAAAGTTATGTAAATTCTTGTTGATATTTTCGGTGAGGTAGAGTGCTTTTACATGGACGGGCTGGCTCCATCCTTGCTCATTAATCCGTCGCACTCCTCGTAGTGTCCATTGTGGCTCTTGGCCGCGCCTAGTTTGCCATTACCTGGCAGCAGCGCTGGACGTAGCGGGGTCCTAGTTTTTTGTATGGTAGTCTCGGCGCACATTCCAAACCGGGTCAAGAACTGTCACATGGCTGTTGGCGTTATGGCGTGCTTCAGCAAATCTGGACTCTTGAGTCATCCCCCTGGGTCTTGCTCCATCCTCGCACACTACATCCTATCTCTCGTCGGTTAACGTGGTTGACGCGCGTATGTCTCGGGGTTTGGATTCTTGCTACCCACTAATCTACTATTGTGGGGTTTTGTTCCAATTTAACGCGTTTCTGATCAAGTCCCTAATATCGACTCGGACGGAACTGGTTCGGGTGCGTCCGTTCAGGGGGTTGCTCTGTGTATTGCATTTATAGCGTGTGCTTTGATGGTGTCAGGCTTCTGTAATTTTGTGGTGCTATGAATAGGATCGACCTAGTGGTAGCAAACGTCAGCAAATAATTATGTCGTATGGATTAACTGGTGGTTTGCGTCTCGATTGTATGTGCTCGTACATAGTCATATGTGAACACATAGTTAGGATTAAATGTCTCTCCTAAACTTTGATCTAGGTAACTCGTGAATTACTGGAGCACCCTCATTTGCGTTCATAAAACAACTGTATTAGTTTGCATTCCTGATAGCTTCGGTGTGCGTGGTATTATTAGATACTTTTGATTCCGAAGACAATGTTAAAGGCCCAAAATAATTTCATGTTAAACAAAAATGCTTATAGGCCTACCCATCGCATTTTGTCTTGCTCTTCCGACCCGATGATAAGGTGTAACGCTTTAAGGGCAAGTAAAATTGAGTAAAAACACTAATTTCCGGGAAGCGAACGCATTTATGGTGGGTTTCGTTTAGTCATTTTCGGCACAACATCTTACGCATGACCGGCTACCATGGTTATGCATTCTCGTGGATCTCCTCCGAGCCACCTGACCCTATCTCCGTGTCCACCTCCGGACACCCTCACTGAACCACAGAATTTATTCTGAACCATCTTTCTGCGTACAACAGACCCCTTTTACACGCTCTATTACGGTATCACGCACAAAGGAAACATACATCTCGTTCGCTTTTAACAGCCACATGGGCCCATTGCTTTTGGCCTTCCCATTCTCATCTGAGCACCTGATATCGATCAGGGCCGAAGTTGTGCGCGAGGCGCACGTAGGAGCCTTCAAACACTCCCAATTAGACTAAGTCTGATAATCTACTCTCTACTGGTATGTGTTGTGATATATACTGAACCATAAACCGTAAATTAGCTTTTCTGCTGAAGCTAACTTGCGGCATTGATTGTGCTGGTCTGATGACTGGCAAGATCTCGCTTCAGGTTAGTATTGCAATATCAAATTTCCGTGCATGGTTTGCAGGGAACTACCAATTCAGCCATCACTATGGCATGCAATATTACGTTAAATATAAATGCAAGTTAACCAGTTTGCTGTCTCGCGAATAGACATGTTAAGCCTCTTTATTCCATAATTGTTAAAGTGATTTATTTGCTCAACATAATCTACTATTTTTGAACTGCATTGCCTATCCACGTTCAAGGTGAGCAAGCAGCAGCAAAAATTATTACGCATTTTATCGTCTCCATCTTTAAGATTGCAGTGAATTGGTAGCGAAATTCTGACGCAGTACTACAATGCAACCAAAGACGGTAGAATCACAACAGCCCAGCGACCTCACTATGTGCATCAGTTCATCCGGAGTTACCATTCCACTTAAAGCATTCTGCTCTAAATAGCAGTCCGGCCATAATGAGGAAGAATATTGTGGATTTAGGAAGTAGCATCAGTAGGACACACAAGCAACCTTGAATAGTTACTAGCCCTACTCGAAAAAGTTTCTTTGTTTTCAAACGCCGTCAACTGATTTACAAATGTGGCACGACACAGTGGCAATGAGTCATCATTCATTTTGTAAATAATTTACCGTAGGGCTTACTGTAAATTTGTGCACGTAAGGCTGGTCAATTTAGCCTTACATAGCTTCACCACGGTACACAGTTCTGAGCCTTGAATTCGTGTAGCATTCCTAAAAGGCGGGCTTTCTCAAAGACATAAACCTCTTGGCGTCTCGGAAACAAGTCCCCTTGAGCAGTCTCTCAATACCTTAAGACGAAATGCGATCATTTGAGTGGAGAATGTGGAAATAAAGCTACATTACTTATTATTGATTTTCTTGTGGTGGTCGATTCCCCGTCACTGGATGCCAACTTTCAATTCATGTAAAAATTCGGATTCATCGTTAAAATTTCCTTATCTGGTTTTAACAACTAATTTATACTAAGTCATTTGAAGTGAACCGACAAGGGTGTTCACAACGCCGCAAGGCAAGAATCAAGGGAACTTATTACAACCGAACACAGAGAGGACAAGGTTCACATTTTTTTTCGAGAAAATTAACTTGAACTTGGGACTTAAAGACTAAATTATGCAATGGTGTAAAGGTGCCCCTAAACGATGATGTTTTAAATTTTGGCATGTAAGTCGCATGCAGACTCCTGACGAGAACCTGCTGAGGTGGACTCCATCACGGTCAGAAGAGCTGGTCATCATTTTAGAGGTCTTAATTTTCAATCCCTCTTTTCTGTTAGTGGATAATAACTGGAGGTACTGATAAGCACAAAGTCCATATCTAAGGTTCTAGGAGAACTGGAAGGTGAAATGAATCCATAACGATAAATGGCCCGAATAACCGTACTTAAAAATTGTGTTGATTTTCGCCGTAGAAATCAGACAACGAATGAAGATGAGAAATTGGTTAATTAGAATTTCATTTAGGTCCTAAATCCTCGAATTTTAGATGGAACGAGTGCTTTGGATTCTCTCAAGTACAATGTCCTGTGACCACTTCCCTCAAATTAGTAACAAGCTTTAAATGCTATGCTGCGTTACTAAAGTAATTACATCAATGTACTTAGATTAATCTTCCTCGGTGCAACTTGCATAACGTGATGTGACCAGGCATTTTTAAATAACACTGAAAGCACGTGAAGTTTAGCTGAATAAAAATTCCGAAAATCAAGTATACAGCACCGGTGTTTAGTGGAGTAGCTTTACAACTCACCGGTTTTGAAGTGATTTTTGCCATGGAAAATGACCACTATTAAACCGGCGTTCTCAACCTTACCAAAAAGGTCAGGTATAGAAATTTCATTGTTTATTGCTTACTGGAATGAAATTGCCAGAAGCTGATTATTTTAGTAAACGGAAGCGCTTAGCAACGACTTTTTGCACCTCAGAATTCAATTTAACAATGATTCTTATTAAACATTAAGTGTGTAGTAACTAGCGTTATTACCCGAAAACTCTGAACCATGATGAGACTGACAAAACCATTTTGACAATCTTTAGTAATCTGTGACCAATAAGTCACACACCTGATCCCCGTAGCACGCAGAGGAGCCTCACCGTCAGGTTTGCCAAATTGGAGCACTTATGTGGGAGTGAGTGAATTTTAGGTAGGAGTATGAAAGTTTGCTGAGATGACTCAAGCCAAATTAGATCGAAATTGTCCCCCCCCCACGTTCATCCTGCAGATCCTTATGGCGTGTCTCTGATTTAATTAATTTTCCGCAGGATATAGATCTTTTTAAGAGTTCAAACTTTTATCATGCTGATAATTTCCTCAATATCAAAAAAAACTGCCGTAGTCACTGCAGGTCAAATTATTCGAGTTAGGGATTGATTGGCTTTATTAATGGAAAGAGTTCACTGCTACCAGGACCTAGTCAAATTCGGATTGCTAAATCGAAGTTGAAAAATCTTCAGTTTTAACAGGTGGCACTTGCATCCCCAACGTAATGATGCAGCAGATGATAGTCACGGAAATTTAACAGACTCCCGACACGTTTGTGTCCAGGAGTGCAACTGTGGCCTTAACCCAGGCCTGTTAGAACACGACTGAATAGATATCTTCAATCAACGATTAAGGTTATTCAGGCCATAATACTTCAATCAAGAGAAAAATCGTATTGTGGCCTCTGGGACGCGTCTGCTGCTGAGGGTCAGTGCTGGTGCCTGATCATTTCAGCTGGCCAGAAGCATTGACGGCAACATATTATGCAGGTATTTGATATCCCATAATCCTAGGTGGTTAAGTTCTTTCAAGGAATAATAAAACGCCGCACAAACTCCGAGTTCCATCACTCCTATTTAATATCAAAAAGTGATGCAACACTCGCTTTGCTCTGAGGACATTTCGAATTGTTTATGCCTATCAGTAACCCATAATAACCACAAGATTCGTGATGACTGAATGACTTCCTTTTGGGATGAAAATACAAGGGGCTTAGTAATAATTTGATAGATATCGCTTCGGAGCTGACTTCCCGACAATAATTAAATCATTCAACCGCATCATCTTCCAGTAAGCGTTTGAATTATAGTGACGTCTGTAGTTGAAATTGCAGAAATGTAAAAATGCAGTCCTCTTTCTTCCGATTCAAACCGACTGGCAATCCGTCCCTCTGGACTGCCACTTTAGCGCATTTTGACCACGAACCTCTTTGCCCGTGGACACCACCGGCTCATCGCACTTGCTGTAGGAGTTTTCTTCTGCGAAGAGACCGTATGTGGGAAGAGAGGTCGTAAAGACCGTTTCTTTGTTCTATAATACTCCGAAGGTTATGCCGAAGTAGGAATAAAAACGAATGCAGGCACCACAACATGGTAGTACCGAAGTAGCCCTAATCCCAAACTACCAACAAAAATTCATGCCAAAGCTACCTGAACCAATTTCTTTAGTAACGGCCACCTCAAACGGCAAACTTGAAATATTCTGGTATCT